GGGAGGGGAGGGGGGATAGTAGAGAATAGGACTGACAGCAGAATACATCAGACACTAGAAAGGCAATATGTCAATAAATGGAAGGGTAACTGATGTGATACAGCAATCTGTATACGGGGTAAAGTTGGGAGTTCATAACCCACTTGAATCAAACTGTGAAATATGATGTATTAAGAACTGTGTAATGTTTTGAACGACCAACAATAAAAAAAATGTGTTTATTTTTTGTAGTGGCAATTGAACCCAGGGGTGTTTTATCACTGAGATTGACTAAAGATGATGAACATCTTTTTATATATCATTATTAGCCATATGTACCTCTTTTGAGAAGTGTATGTTCAGTTCATTTGACCACTTATTAATTGGTTTATTTCCTTTTATGGTGTTAAGTATTTTGTGGTTTTTATTGGTGCTTTTAATGACACATAATAGTGGAATTCATTGTGATATTTTCATATATGTATATAGCATAATTTGATCAATCTCATTCCCTAGTATTTTTCCTTTCTGTACTCTCTTCCCTCTTCCTGTCCACTTCCCTTACTGCACTTCCTTATACTAATATATTTTTTTAAAGAGTGGGGGGGAGGGAGGGAGAGGGAGAGGGAGGGAGAGAAGGAGGGAGAATATCTTTTTTTTTTTGTAGATGGACACAACACAATGCTTTTTTTTATGTGGTTCTGAGAATCAAACCTGGGTCCCACCTGAGCTAAGTGAGCGCTCTACCACTGAGCATCATTCCATTAATTATCATTAATGTATAATTAATACATTATAAGTATATATAAAAGTGTGACTCATTATGTAATATTCATAAATGAACAGAGCATAATTTAGTCAATTTCATATGACAGTATTTTCCCATGCCCTCCCCAATTTGGAACCCCTTCTTCTACTCTATTTGTCTCCCTTCTATTTTGGGGAGATTGTTGTTTTATTCCTTTGTTTTCTCTCTAACTTCTATGTATATTTCTACATACATTCGAATCTTGAATTTCTGAGAATGGGTTATTTCACTTAGCATAATGTTCTCCAGTTCTATCCACTTAACAGCAGATGGCAAACTTTCACTATTTCTTTATGTGTGTGGAAAACAGTGTGTGTGTGTGTGTGTGTGTGTGTGTGTGTGTGTG